CGATCTCGGCCATAGATAGAGTCCACTGTAACGCCGGATGATCGAATAGAGTAACAGACCTGCGTGGTGCTCCGCTCAAAGATAAAACAGCCGTCACCGTGGACGCCACTGACTCCGTGGCCTCGATAAAAGATAGAACTCGCACGAAGGTACTATTGGCACCAGCATAAAGGCGAACTCCCTCCCGAGGCAGCCGAACCTCAATTATCTTCTGGATCTTCCCACGACATTCATCACGACCAGCATCAATAGCCTCTCTTGGACGGTGCGGATCAATCTCGGCCTGAGAACAACCCCTCCCCAATGATCGGTACTTTGCAGTAGCAGGCATGGTAGCCCAACAAACCTAATCATCATGATTCACACGACCAGCCCTCTCTTACTAACAAAACAAAACCAACAACTAACACTCAATTACAGCTAGATATATTCATGCTTGTCCATGGGTCAACTATGTTACAATGCTGCTGCTACTCGAAGTTGTGGTAGTAGTCCGCTCAGGCTCTGCCCCCTCATGATGCTTCGCTACTGGCCATTCTAATTCCGACAACTTGCTACCGGCAATCGCGTCTCGGAAGACGAAGAGAAGAACCGGGGAAATGGTACTCCCTAGAGCGATCAGTAGCCACATGAACTCTGCATGCCGTATACCGCTGGCTGGACACAGCGTATCAAGAAGCCAACCCGATACCGCTCCAGTGAACAGTGTAGCCACGAACATAGGAGTAGAAGCCAACGCCATGTACGTCCCCTCTCGACCGTCCTCTGCAATGGAAACCGTGTACTCGTACAGGCGAGGTGACCAAATTGACTCACCGAGGGAGAGGCATAGGACGAAGCACACGCACGTGATGTAGGTGTGGCCCATGACGAGGAAGTATGGAGAGATAGCCGTCACTGTAGCGCCGAAGATTATGAGCTTCAGCGGGTGATATTTGAGAGCTAGTGGTGACAATAGGGGGACCAAAAGCACCACACATAGAGGATTGAGAGCGATAATGGTGCCGTAGAGGGCATCAGGGCCGAACTCTCGGACCATATACTTAGGGAATGTGGCATCCATATGACGATAAATTACTCGTACTCCCATCAACAGTACGACTAGTAGCAGAAACCGCCAAAAGCCGTCACTGGCCATGACCTCCTGAAACATCTGGCTGGGGACCTTCTCTCGCCCAGCGTTGGATTCCGCAGGAGGGTCCTTCAGGAAGAGCAGGCATATAACCAAGCAGAGAGCTGTGACGAATGCACCAGTAAGGAAGAGGATACGATAGCTGGACACTGTTATGTGGACGTCTCCACCAGCTAAGGTCAAGACGACTCCACGCGGGAAAGCCCGGTGGAAGGCATCAATGCACGGGGCCGCAGTGATGGCTGCTACGTTCATAATTACGTAAAACATCGAGAACGCGGTGGAACGGTCCTCTCCCTCTGTGAAACGTTTGATGGCTATTTGCATCACAGGTATGCCTAAAGCGCCACCAATGGGCAGGACCGTGAAAAGGACTGCAGCAAGTACGTGAGTTGAGTAAGTCGTTGCCATCACAAGCCTGGATACTAGCAGTATACTCATACCACCCGTAAGGGACCACCGTGGCCCTAGGGTGTCGATAACTGTGCCCATTATAAATCCGTACACGCTAACTAGCATACCGTAAAAACCGTAACTCCAGCCAGCTTCCTCATCAGAGAATCCGAACTCGTCCGAGAGGAACAATATCAAGGTGTAAGCGAATACGAAATAGGCGTAAGACTCTAGGTACTTCAATAAGAATATAAGCCAGACTTCTTTGGGCCACTGTTTCATCGACTTCCACCATATTGCTGCGGCGCTCATCGAGGGCGATACGCTCT